ACATGGCAAAAACTTCTTAAGCAAAATAGAAAATATGGAAGTCACAAAGGGGGAAAACAAGTCATAAAGGGAAAGTTTCAAAAATTTGACTATGTAAAAATGAAAACTCTGCAAGGCAAAAGATGGATAAATAAATTATATATGTATTCAGAAAATAAACAATAGGCCAAAGGAAATAATTGCAACATATATGATAAAATGTTTTACCTCCAATATCAGAAGGGACAATAAATTTTTAGAAAAATGCAATAATCCTGCAGAAAATTTTAGAGAAGGGGAAATTAAAATGTTTAATAAATGAAGGAAAGGGTCTCAACCTTATTAGTACAGAAATCCAAACTAAAGCAACAACAACAGCAATAAAAAAAAACTAGTGCCTGTCCTGTAACAGACTGGTAAAAGGAAAAAAAATAAGTTCTAAAGCCCAGTAGCAGTGATACCATCAGCACTTTCATTGCTAGTGGAACTGTGAACTGCTACAACTTTGAAAAGCAATCTTATCTATTAAAATGAAAAATACACCTATCTCAACTCAGTAATCTTAATTCCTAGGATCTGTCCCTTAGCACTAAAACAAATGTATTCAAGCAAATGCATGTAAGAATCTTCAAAAAAACAAAAACCTGCCCACCCATTTTAATGAGAAATAATTCACATACATCCCTGTACGTTTAAGGCATACAGCATGATGGTTTGATATGCATATAATGTGAAACAATTACCACAAGAGGTCCAGCTAACACCCATTCTTCTCATATAGACATGAGGTAGGAGACAGTGGGCCTCTGGGCCAGACACCTGGTGTTTGTCAAGTGGACTAAAATTCAAGCTTTGTTCTCACCCAGACACTCCAAGGTCAAAGCTAGTGGCAAAAGCTGAGCTTTGCTAAGGCAAAGAGACAAGATGCCCACTCCTGAGATCAAAAAAGACTTCCCTGTCCACACATGCGCAGGAAGACTTCTTGGGGGTCAAAAAGCAAGGGGGCTCCATCCCATAATAAGTAAGGACACGCACCCACAAGCCTCTGTGGTGGGATCCATCTTAAAAAACTTGCGCAGGCATCTTGGGGAGGGTCCAAGGACTAGTGAGATGTGAAGAAAGAAATAAGATAATTGGCCAAAGGTAAACAAAGTCGGATAAGACTGAGCCATTCAACCTAACTTGAAACAAAGATCGGGAAGGACTGTCTTAAATAAATGATTTACATTACCTCTTTATTGTTCTCCTCCTCATTCAGGACACTCACACTCCTCTCCCTAGCTTCTGACTTAAGACTTACTGCGCTCCTCTCATTAGAGAGGATGCCCACACCATTTCTCCCCAGGTACACATCTCTGCCTTGTTGTTGTTGTTTAGTCACTAAGTCATGTCTGACTCTTTGCGATCCCGTGGACTGCAGCAGGCCAGACTTCATGTCCTTCACTATCTCCCTGAGTTTGCTCAAACTCATGTCCATTGTGTCAGTGATGCCATCCAACCAACTCATCCTCTGTTAGCCCCTTCTCCTGCCTTCAATTTTTCCCAGCATTAGAGTCTTTTCCAATGATTCAGCTCTTTGAATCAGGTGGCCAAAGTATTGGAGCTTCAGCTTCAGCATCAGTTATTCCAATGAATATTCAGGGTTGATTTTCTTTAGGATTGAATGGTTTGATCTTGCAGTCTAAGGGATTCTCCAGAGTCTTCTCCCACACCACAATTCAAAACCATCAATTCTTCAATGCTCAACCATTTTTATGGTACAACTCTCTCATCAGTGCATGACTACTGGAAAAACCATAGCTTTGACGACACAGACCTTTGTCGGCAAAGTGATGTCTCTGCTTTTTAATAAACTGCCTAGGTTTGTCACAGCTTTTCTTCCAAGGAGCAAGCGTCTTTTAATTTTATGGCTGCAGTTATCATCCACAGTGATTTTGGAGCCCAAGAAAATAAAATCTGTTAGTGTTTCCACTTTTCCCTCTTCTATTTGCCATGAAGTGATGGGACTGGATGTCATGATCTTAGACATCATGGACTGAAGCCCACCAGGCTTCTCGGTCCATGCAGTTCTCCAGGCAAGAATACTAGAGTGGGTTGCCATGCCCTCCTCCAGGGGATCTGTCCCACCCAGGGATCGAAACCACACTCTTTATGTCTCCTGGCTGGTGAGTTCTTTACTATTAGTGCCACCTAGTTTTTTACTTACTGCACTCCTCGCTCTGGATGTCCAAACTCCTCTTTGGGCATGCATTTTTGCTTTGCTTCTGTCTTAAACAACCTGTTTCTCTGTGTGCTTGCCTATACATGTTTCCAGGAGGCAAAAATTGTAAAACTAAGTACAAAGTCTCAGTACCTGTTTTTACAGTTCTTGCCTCCTGGAAACATTCTTGCTTTCAAGTGGGAGAAAAAGCCAGGGCCACTTTGCTTCTACCCTCTAGACCCCAGGTGGTCTAAGGGCTAGGACCAGGTTACCCAGGTCTAATCCCCTAGCAGAGAACTAAGATTTTTCTTCAAGACTGCTCACTGTTCTCCCTCTGAGATTAGATATAGTAAAAAGAAAGAAAAAAAGGCAAAACATTTCTCTGTGTGATGAGAACTTGTAAGATGTAGTCTCTTACCAACTTTCCTTTATATCATACAGCAGTGTTAACTGCAGTCATATGTTGTACATTACATCCTAATTATTTATAACTAGAAATTTGTACCTTTTGCTCACCTTTCTCCAATTCCCCCTCACCTCAAGAATTTTTATTGCAACATTATTGAAAATGGCAAACAAAAATAACTAAAATGTCAATGGGAACCATTAAATGAATTGTGTAGTCACATTATGGGATATTACGCAGCATTTTTTTAAAGTGTCAGAAATATGTCCATTATTCTCCAGAGATGTCTTTCAGTTCAGTTCAGTCGCTCAGTTGTATCCGACTCTTTGTGACCCCATGAACCACGGCATGCCAGGCCTCCCTGCCCATCACCAACTCCCGGAGTCCACCCAAACCCATGTCCATCGAGTCAGTGATGCCATCCAACCATCTCATCCTCTGTTGTCCCCTTCTCCTCCTGCCCTCAATCTTTCCCAGCATCAGGGTCTTTTCAAACGAGTCAGCTCTTCGCATCAGGTGGCCAAAGTATTGGAGTTTCAGCTTCAACATCAGACCTTCCAATGAACACCCAGGACTGATCTCCTTTAGGATGGACTGGTTGGATCTCCTTGCAATCCAAGGGACTCTCAAGAGTCTTCTCCAACACCATAGTTTGAAAGCATCAATTCTTCATCACTCAGCTTTCTTTATAGTCCAACTCTTACATCCATACATGACCACTGGAAAAACCATAGCCTTGACTAGATGGACCTTTGTTGGCAAAGTAATGTGTCTGCTTTTTAATATGCTGTCTAGGTTGGTCATAACTTTCCTCCCAAGGAGTAAGCGTCTTTTAATTTCATGGCTGCAATCACCATCTGTAGTGATTTTGGAGCCCAGAAAAATAAAGTCAGCCACTGTTTCCACTGTTTCCCCATCTATTTGTCATGAAGTGATGGGACTGGATGCCATGATCTTAGTATTCTGAATGCTGAGCTTTAAGCCAACTTTTTCACTCTCTTCTTTCAATTTCATCAAGAGGTTCTTTAGTTCTTCTTCACTTTCTGCCATAAGGGTGGTGTCATCTGCATATCTGAGGTTATTGATATTTCTCCCAGCAATCTTGATTCCAGATTGTGCTTCTTCCAGCCCAGCGTTTCTCATGATGTACTCAGCATATAAGTTAAATAAGCAGGGTGACAATATATATACAGCCTTGATGTACTCCTTTTCCTATTTGGAACCAGTCTGTTGTTCCATGTTCAGTTCTAACTGTTGCTTCCTGACCCGCACACAGGTTTCTCAAGAGGCAGGTCAGGTGGTCTGGTAGTCCCATCTCTTAGAGATGTCTTTAGTGTATTGCTAAAGAGCATGGTGCTTTTTAGAAAATATGTATAGCATTAATATGATGCAGTTTTTCCTTAAAAACTTTTTTTTAAAAGACACAACTTGGGAATTCCGTGACGGTCCAGTGGTTAGAAATGGGTGCTTTCACTTGGATGTCCCAGGTTCAGTCCCTGATTGGGGAGCTTAGATCCTTGGCAAATGGGCTGGGCTGGGGAACCGTTGGCGCGGGTGGGGGCGAGGGCGGGAGGAGCCCAGCGGAGCATGGTTGAAAGACACAATTTATTTACACACTCGTTCATTCATTCAACAAATATTGTCTTCCTCGCGGTGGGAATACAGCAGTAAACAGAACTGATAAACATCCTTACCTCTTATGACATTTTAAATGATGGAAGACATGAGAATTGAGAAAAAGTAGATGTTAAATAGGCAGGTGTAATATAGATGGAGGAATCAGGGGTAGGGATTAAAAAAAAAAACAAACAACTAGGCATTCCCTGCATATATGGTGGAATTTAAGCCATTAATATTGGATGATTTTTGTAAAGTTTATGAGTATTCGTACAAGCTTGGAGAAAATGTGGAAAACTAGTGAGAAAGACCTAGAGTCAAATCTCAGCCGTTAGTCTCTTGGAAGTTTACCCAGTCTCTCAAAGCCTGTCTGTAACATGGGAAGAATAACAGTTATTCAAATGGCTCCACCGCCGCCACCTCTTGGTGTAGAAAGAGGTGCCGCGCAGGTGAAATCTCCAAGACACAGAGCCCAGGGTGACACCAGTGCGGCCACATTGGCTATGGGAAGTGCGGAGGCGTTGCGACCACTGTCATTTTCAGTTAGGGCTTGGAGCGACTTCCGGTTACCATTTTGAGTGACAGTAGAGGCGGAGCTCCGGCTGACGCATCATTAGGGGCCGGGCTCCGAGGGCACCTCCCTGAGAGCGACTGAACGCTAAGCCCGGAGGGCGGAGGCAAGCCATCGTAGCCCCGCCCCCGACTTTGGGCTCCACCTCCCGGCCCCACTTCCGCCGGGTGAGCGTCTGTAGGCGTCGGTGCCGTAAATCGGGCTGTCGGTTTGCCGCATCACGGAAGATGGCGGCCACGGCGGTGAACGGGGTGGCCGGCACCTCGAGCTCGGGGCCTGCGGCGGCCTCGGGCGCAATCCTGCAAGCCGCGGCCGGCATGTACGAGCAGCTCAAGGGAGAGTGGAACCGGAAAAGCCCTAATCTTAGCAAGTGCGGGGAAGAGCTGGGCCGTCTCAAGGTAAGGATCCGCCGGGGGTGCTTCGAGGGGTCCAGATCCAACCGAGTTTCAGGCTCAGGGGGAAACCGCGGCGCCGACGGGATTAAGGCGGACTGGGCTCTCTAATAGGGTGAAGGATTCAGAGGAGCCGAAGTGCGGTTTGGAGGCGTGAAGATGTGAGAGGGACCTCGAACGGACTAAATGCGGCCCCACGGTGGGGGGTGATGGAGAAGGTGTTTCTGGCACACCCGAGTGAGAGGTTAAAATTTTGGTGCTTGGAGGCCTAGCTGGTTAGAGTGGTAGGATGGGGCTGTCAGCTTTTGTGATGTAGGGTTCTGGCTGCCACCAAATGGAAAATGAGGACTGGACAGGGACATGGAAGAAGGAGGCTGAGATGATGGGGTTCGTGGTTAAGACCAGGCTAACTTGGGGTCCGAGAAGTCTGGGGCTTAGGGATAGATCTGTGGAGAGAGGGGCCCAGCTAAGTTGTGAGGGCAGGACTGAAGCTGGGAAAAATACTCTTATAGCACAGGACCTTAATGGGGCTGGGATTGCTTCAGGCCAGGTGGAGGGGGTACAGGTGGGCTGGACCACGTTGCTGAGGGGGGTGTATCTGATAAGGGATGATGTGTGAGCTGGACTATAGGAAGAGATTAGCCCCCTTTCCTCCTTGGTGTAGGTTGAGGGGGGTAGCTTGTCCCAACCCAACAAGTGTGGGAAAGTGTTGCCAAAGAACCAAAGGTGCTAGGTCTCCCCACCCCCTTGATTCCACTGGCTTAGGCATGGAGTGGGTCTCCCCAGCGGGTCTATTAATACTTGTAACATGAAGTCATCCTGAATGAGCCCGCATCATGTGTCCAGGCCCTGATCTGATGGCTTTATGAGGACTGACTCCTTTAATACTCATAACAGCCTTATGAGTCAGGGATGATGGCCAGCTCCATTTTCTAGGTGGGAAAATGAAGGCCTAGATAAAAATAAATAACTCATACTTTCCCATCTTCTTTCCTTTCTTCCCCTGTCCTCCTCTTCAGCTGGTTTTGTTGGAGCTCAACTTCCTGCCAACCACAGGGACCAAACTGACCAAGCAGCAGCTCATTCTGGCCCGTGAGTGTCACTGGAGTTGATGAGGGGTTTATGGACTTGGGTCATGGCAGGAATGGTAGCAGTGGTGGTCAAGGTCAGGACCCTGGTCACCTCCTGAGAACTTCCTCTGTTGCCTACAGGTGACATACTGGAGATCGGGGCTCAGTGGAGTATCCTACGCAAGGACATCCCCTCCTTCGAGCGGTATATGGCCCAGCTCAAATGCTACTACTTCGATTACAAGTGAGGATGGACCTGGCCCCTAATTTGGGGGGTGTGTGTGTAGTGGCTTCCCTGGTGGCTCAGTGGTAAAGAATCTGCCTGCCAGTACAGGAGATGGGCAGATCCCTGGGTTGGGAAGATCCCCTGGAGAAGGGAATGACAACTCACTCCTGTATTCTTGCTTGGAAAATCCCATGGACAGAGGAGCCTGGTGGCCTACAGTCCGTGGGATCACAGAGTTGGATGCAGCTGAGCACACAGTAGTGTGTGTGTTGGAAGGGGTGGGTGGTTTACATGGCAGCTTTATATCCTTGTTGCTCTAGTCACTTGGGACGTCTTCCTTCACCTGGGAATTTCCCCTTTGCATAGCTGTGTGCCCAGAAACCTCAGGGTTCGTGGTTGGCCTGGAGATCCTGAGTCTGGGATTTCACCGTCCAGTCTCAGTTAACCTCTGGTCTATCTCCTCCTTCACATTCCCATTCTAAATTTCCACTCCCCAGTGTAGCCACCGTCCCGTTTTACCTGCCTTGATCCCAGCCTTGCCCTCTTCCATTCATCCCTCCATGGCAGCTGGTAGGATCTTCGTGACACTAAAATTTGACCATGTTGATTGTCTGCTTAGAACCTGTCATGACTCTCTGTAGCACTCAGGTTTCAGACCAAGCTCTTTCCTGTGGTCTCCAATGGGGTATCATTGGAGAGGGTGCTGACTCCTCTGTCTGTCTGTCTTCCATCCTGGCCTTGTCTCTCCTACTGGACTGTGAGTCTTCTAGAAACAGAAGGGTCTTGGTCACTGCTGTGTCCCAGCACAGCCTAGTATGGAGCCTGGCCCAGAGCAGAGACTCACTGAGTGCACGTTGAATATGAAACTGAATGGTTTCATAACCGAATGGGGTTTCCATGGAGACTGATGGTTAAGAATTTGACAGGAGAAGCTAGAAAAACTGAAATTTGGAGCTATTTTTCCCCCTTCCTGATTATATGATCTTGGGAAGTGGTTTCACCTCTCTAATTCTCAGTTTCCCCCCAGAAGTGAAGGTAATGCTTATTAATATAATCATAGTTAGCACTTCTGTGGAATTTGTTGGGGCCAGATACCGTTCTGATCACTGTACCTGGATTAAATAACTTAATCAGTTAACCCTATTTGTTTAACCCACCTCTGTGAGATGGGTACTGTGATGAGAACCTGTTTTACAGTTAGGGGAACTGAGGCTTAGTCACTTTACTGGAGTGAGGTCACTTTCTAGGGCCCATATGATTGTGACTTCTTTATGTCTCTTTGAGCCTCAGTTATATGTGAAAATCCAGGAACTAGTGCTCCTCCGAGGAGAGAGCATCGGACAGTTATCAGGGTGGATCCCTGGAGCCTGTGGTGTGGGGAGCTTGGTTGGTACCTAAGCCCTGCTTACCTTGGATTCCCACTCTGGTCCATAGGGAGCAGCTCCCAGAGTCAGCCTACATGCACCAGCTCCTGGGCCTCAACCTCCTCTTCCTGCTGTCCCAGAACCGGGTGGCTGAGTTCCACACAGAGTTGGAGCGGCTGCCTGCCAAGGACATCCAGACCAACGTGTACATCAAACATCCGGTGTCCCTTGAGCAAGTGAGGCTGAGGAAGTGGGAGGGGAGGGCCTGGCTAAAGGGAGCGGTGCAGGGAGAGACACTCGGGAGGGTTTCCTGGAAGACTAGGCAGGGCTCAGCCTGTGGACTCATTTGCTCATTTGTCCAACAAATATTGAGCCCTAGCCATGTACGCAGGCACTTTGGTTGGTTTTCCGACTGTACAGTGAACAGAAGAGATCAAATCTCAGATCTTATGAGGTTGACATTCATGTGAGGAAGCAGATAGTAAACAAATGAGTATGTGTGTGTGTGTCTGTGTGTACATACCAGGGAGGGCTTCCTAGAAGAGGAGGACCCATCTGCATGGGGAATGGTGACTCTGTGGCAGAGAGTGTCCTGGCAGAGTATAGATTATGGAGGCACTGGGATTACAGTGAGACCTCGGTGGGGATGCCTCTGTGCTGCCTCTTCCTCACCGTCTCTTCTTCCCTACCCATCCTCTACAGTACCTGATGGAGGGCAGCTACAACAAGGTATTCCTGGCCAAAGGCAACATTCCTGCTGAGAGCTACACTTTCTTCATCGACATCCTGCTTGACACTATCAGGTGTGTGTGGGGGGCCAGGGCCCTGCAGAGTGTAGAAAGAACTTGGACTTCAGAGTCAGACAGCTCTGTGTTTGAATCCCATTCGGGCCACTTGTGATCTGGGGAGGCTGGGCACATCAGTTTCCTCTTCTGTGAACTGCAACTGGTCATGAGATGGTAGTAAGAGCCCTCATCTCACTCTGGGCCTGTGGAATTCGACCCTGAGCATGGGCTTGGTGCCCAGACATTGCTCAGCTCAGCGCTCAGAGACCCTGCTGCCTTTCTCATGGAAGTACTCCTTGAGTCATCTAGCTTCACCTCAGGTCACCTTAACTCTGCAACCTCAGTTTTCTGTTCTTTAGAATAGGGCCACCAAATCCTGCTAGCTCCTTGGGGGTTGCTGTGTACACAGGTGGCACTGCATGGGCGGATGGGCATGACGTGTACAAGTCCAAGTGTTCAGGTAGTGTCAGAGTTGGTTCACCCGGGCAAAGTGCCAGATTGAGTTTTCATTCCTCCAGTGACAAAGCTGGGCCCAGAGAGGTGCAGGGAGTGAGGAGAGGCAGTTTAGTAGGTTTAGGCTATTTTTAACCCTGAACTATTTCTACTCTTTGCAATGCACAGGGAATATTATGAGTGCCCACATACCTACCACCTGGCCTAAGAGATATTAATAAAATACCTCAAACGGGCATGCTCCTCCTTGTCACTAGTTTTTGCCCAGAGCTACCCCTTCTCCCATTTCAGTGGCTTGATGTCATGCTGTTTTTTACTTCAGTGTTGACCTCTTAAAATGGGTACAAAGAACCCCCTTGGGATTGGATCCTGTGGGGAGGGTGTTAGGTGAAGAGATCCCCTTCTGTGAATCTGAGGCTCAGTTTCAGCCAAGCCTGAAGTCCTTGTGGCTAGGAGTGAGAATCTGAGCCTGGGCCCAGGAGTCCCGGAGACCTGAGTGTGTGCCCTGCTCTGGCCCTGGCTTTGCAGCTCTAGTCAAGCTACTCTCCCCTGAGCCCCGAGGGGTTAAATGGGGCAGGTAACATATTTCAGCCATAAGTGCTGAACTGAAGGGCCAGGCCTTGTCTGTGCACAGTAATGAGACTCATCTTCCCCCAGGGATGAGATTGCTGGTTGTATCGAGAAGGCCTATGAGAAAATCCTCTTCACTGAGGCCACCCGGATCCTCTTCTTCAACACACCCAAAAAGATGACAGACTACGCCAAGAAGGTGGCTGGGGTGGAGGTCAAGGGACCATGGGGTGCACTCACTGACAGCAGGGTGGGATGGCCCGGAGGGACACTGGAGCCAGACTCCAGTTGTGCGACCTCAGGCAGGTGGCCAGACTTCTCTGAACTTCCGTTTCCCTGTCTGTAGAAAGGGCTAGGGTTTCTTATGTGGGATGAGCTGAGCCCAGCACCTGGCACCAGCCAGAGGTGGAGGCTTAGTACTTGGTGGTGGTTGTCCTTATGAGAATTCCTTGGAGAGTGCAGCTTTTCCCCACAAGACTCTGGTTCATTGGCTCTGGGGTGTTTGTGTGGGAGCAGGGTCCCTGGAGGTGCTGATGCTTGTGATGCAGCAGCCCTGGTGACTGACGAGGGTCATGATCAGACTGGAATAGGTGAAACTGAACTTGGGTATTGGGACAGCTGATATCTAATGATCGTTTACTCTGGGCCAAACATTGTTTCAGTATTTTTGATTCATTTGAATCCCCACAACAGACCCAGAGAGGTGTGTAATTAGGGTCCCATCTCAAACATGGAGAAACAGGGGCACAGAAAAGTGAAATTACTTGCCCAGGGTTGTGCACGTTAGAGCAGGGTTGGTGAGGAAAGTGAGCCAGAGCCTACATGGGTAAGTGCTGGCTTGGGGAGCTGGGAAGGGTGTGTGAGATCACCCCACCATCTCCCATCTCTTCTTTCTTGCAGCGAGGGTGGGTCCTGGGCCTCAACAACTACTACAGCTTTGCCAGCCAGCAGCAGAAGCCAGAAGATACCACCATCCCTTCCACCGAGCTGGCCAAACAGGTCATCGAGTATGCCCGGCAGCTGGAGATGATTGTCTGAGCCCACCAGGCACTGGGGTGGGGCAGGGCTTGCATTATTTAAGGCAGTTGCAGTGCAGAGTTCCCCCTAATAAAGATGGATTGACATTTTCTTTCTTAGGCCCTTGTCACCCCAGGGGGATTGGTAGGGACATAAGTTCTTATCTCTGAAGAACTTGGAAGTTTGGGGGCCTGAGGAAGTCTGAGATAGCCCTGGGCCAGCCTCTTTCCAGTGGCCATTGCTCAGAGTCTCCAACACAGATGCACACTGCAGGGCCCAGTGGCACTGTGGCCTGGGGGAGGGACAGGCCCCAACAGAGGGACTGTTGCAGCTAGCTGTGGACACTCGGGAAGGCCAGGCCAAGGTACCAGTGTTTCAGAGAAGGGGGCGAAATGTCCTGATACTGACAAATACTTGCAATGAATTAAACCAGTTTTTAAAAATGACATGCTAAATTGACCTCTGTGGAACAAAAGGCACAAGGCCCTGGCCTGGGTGGGCCTTCATTCCCACTCTTCTGAGCCAGTGCTGTGACGTAGGACCTCTGTACCTCCCAGCCTATGTTTCCTGCCCTTGAAGTTCTCAAGGTGTTGAAGGCAGAGTCCAAATTTGACTGGGCCATTTGTGGGATGTGGGATTTTCAAGATTTTCTTTGAGTCAGTTTCCCCAGCTCCATAATGGGAATGATCATTCCTGCTTTTCCGAGTGATTTGCGTTAAACCCTGAGCTTGGCACCAGATCGATTGGTTGGAAATGGGGTTGATTCTATTAAGGGGAATGAGAACGTCTCACCTGTGGGCTCATCAGTGCACATGCTGGATGAACAGAACCTCCCTTATTGATGGTCTAGGTCCAGCTTCCTGTTCCCAGGGTGTGATGTTTCCAGGGAGACCTCTGCCCAACCTCACCCCTCCAACCCTTAGCTGGTGACTGACAGGCATCTCGGCATCTGGATGGTTATTTTATTGTCAAGGAGGGGGAGGCAGAGGGCATTGAGCAGACTGCACTCAGTTGGAATGGATAGCCTGCAAGTCATAGTGCTCCAGCCCGGCTACCAGGGAGCCGGCCAACTTGATGGTGGCAACCCAGGGTGGCTCACTCAGGTGGTTGGTGGGCGTGCTCAGCCTACAGGGAGGGTAGAATCATCAGAACCTGTGTGGCCAGGCCTTTACCCATTCTAGGCTCCACTTTCTCCATCTGTATAAGAGACCATGACTGAATATCCCAAAGGGAGTTTAGATCAAGGGCTGTATCTGTGTAATATACTTAGTAGGAAAGAGGGCTGAGAGCTGGTGATAATGGTTCCCCCAACTCCCCCTCCAGGCCCCAGCTGAGCCCCAGAGGTTCCAGGGCAGAGGGTCTCACTGTGACTCAGGACCTAGGGTCCAACAGACCCGGATGATGACCACATTCTGAGATTAAGGGGTGAAGGAGAGGTAACCAGAGGATGCAGTGTCTCCCCTGAATCTGCAGAATCAAGGGTAATCTCTGCAGGGCAAGGACTGGGACATCAGCGCCCTCTGGTGGTCAAAGACTGGAGCGGTCGGGAGTCGAGGGGACTAGGTTTGGGGCTTCCTTTGGAAGCCTGCATTTATAACCATTTGGTTCCAGAAGACCATCATGTCTTCTGTCTCTGAAGAGATTGGGACATGGTCCTTCTTAATGTCATCGGGGACAAGGTCAAGGCAGTGAATAGGATCAGGCCAGCTGGGACCAGTATCCCTGGTGGCTCCAGAGAGTAGCAAGGGAGGTTATCCATCAGAGGTATGGATACTGAGGGGCTGGGCCAAGGTGTTCTCTGTCTGGGAGCAGCGTGCTATCAAGGCTCCTATTGGTTCTGAAAGATTGGGGTTCAGTTGGGTTTGAGATGCAGCCAAGGGGAGGGTCTAGGGGCAGCTGGGGTCAAGAGGCCAAAAGGTTGAATGGGGCCCTCCAGGAAAGTGAAGTTCTGGACTTGGAAGGGTATCCCCTCCCCTCCCTCCCTGACCTCCCCTCACCAGGCAGACACGTTTCTTGGCAGGCGGCGGTGGCGTGGCTGGTGGCGGCAGTAACACTTGCAGGGACAGGAGTTAAGCACCTGGAAGGGTGGCCAGTGGCGCGCGGCGCCCGAATTAGCTGCCCCCGCCGGAAGAGACCCGCTGCCGCCACCCCCTGCACCACGGCTGTTAGTCACAGTAGTGGCTGTACGTTCGCGGGGACCATCTCCGGGCGCGCCATCCTCACGCGGAACCGCGCGGGCTGCACGGGGACCCTTGTTCCTGCGCGTGCGGGTCTTAACGGGCACGGGAGCGGGCGCGGGCGCAGGTGGTAATGGCTCGTCCACAGTGGGAGCTGGAGCCGGGGATGGGGCCGGGGCCGGGGCCGGGGCTGGGGCCGGGGCCGGGGCCGGGGCCGGGGCCTGGTCGGCAGCCAAGGCGGAGGACAGAGCGGGAGCCGGGACGGGAGCCGGGGCGGGAGTCACGGCCGACTCCGAGTGGCCCGGGCCCGGGGCGGGCGGGAGCGTCACGGGCAGCGGCGTTGGCTGGAGCACGGGCGGCTGCGGTGTGGGAGGCGGCGCTGGAGGCGGCGTGGGTGGTGGTGTGGGCGGCGGCGGCGGCGGCGGCGGCGGCGGCAGCTCGGGGGGGCCGGGAGGCCCGGGGCGCACAGGCTCGCCATTGGTGGGCCCCGGGAAGATGAACATAGGCGGCGCCAGCAAGGCGGGTGCAGGCCTCCAGGACCCGGGAGCAGGATGCATCTGCCCTGGAGCAGGCGGTGTGGAGCCCCAGGGCCCTGAGAAAGCGGCTGAGCGCCGTCTGGGTGCCCAGACGCCTCCGCCAGCCCCATTGAAGCGAAAGTGGCGTTCAGGGCCTTCAGGAGGGGTCACCCAGTCAAATCTGGGCTTCGAGCCAGGGAAGGTGGTGTAAGGTGGTGGCGGAAAGGTCCAGGCGTGGGAGGCAGGCGCCGAGGGGGGTCCAGAACACCCCTCGCCGTCTCCATCTCCGCCCTCTGCTTTCTGAGTTCCCCGAGGGACCTCTCCCGAGGGGCGAGAGGCCCCAGGAGCCAGGGGTCCCTGCTTCAGGATCTCAGCGTAGGAGATGGCGCCCGAGGCGGCGAAGAGTCCGCCGCCGCCGCCGCCGCCCGCGAAAGAGGCTTTAGCGGCTAAAGAACTCGACGCTGCTGCAGGGGGCAGAGGGGGCCCCGACTTGAAGGTGACTTTACACAACAGACTCAGGCCGGGCTCGGAGGCCGCAGGCCTGGCCATTTCGCCCTCGCCTGCTTGGGGAGGTACCCCGCTGCGGGCCCCGCTGGCCGTCTGGCCCTCGCTGCCGAGTCTTGCCTGGCTTTCTGTAGGGGTTGCGGCGGGTGTGGCCAGAGTAGGAGTGATTCTGCGGTCCGGGGGCTGCCGGTCGGAAGGTGGCGGTAGTGGCGGCTTCCGCGGCTCCAAGGGCGGCGGAGTCGGAGATGGGGCCCTCGGGACAGGGTCGGGGTCCTCTTCGGTTAGTTGTCGGGACGGCGGCGGCAGCGGGCGGAGGCTCGGAGGGTCGCCCTGGCCGCGATGACTCGCCTCCAGCAGACCGCGGATCCGGGGCACCGGAGTGCCCGTGGGTTTTCGCCACTTAGACGGCGTGGGCAGCAGGGTCCCCACGGGGGGCGGGGGTGGTGTGGAGACCGCGGCCGCAGCCGCCTCCTCTGAAGGGGGCGTCACTGGCGAGGGCAGTTCTAAGGTCAGGGGCAGGGGTGAGGGTGAGGCCTGGGGCTCCGGGGGTACCAGGAGTCCCGGGGGCGCGGAGCTGCCAGGGAACCAAACGCCCAGCCCGCGAGCCAGGCGCATGGCCGGGGAGGAGGGGGTCACCTCGGGCTCCACCAGGGATGTCCGGCGGGAGTCAGAGGACCGGTCCGAGGCCTGCTCTTTTCGGGAGCCCCCGCCCGCGGACGGCTCCGACTGCACGTTCCCCATTTCTGACGGAGATCGGGGACTGTGGTCAGAAAAACTTCCGCCAGTCAATCTGCCAGGGCTGTGGGGACCCCCCCGAAGCTGGCTGAACTTGGTCCTGTCCGCCAGCACCGACTCCACCCTTGTTCCTCAAGACCTACTCAGGCACTGGTTTCTCCCCGCATTCCTGTTCCCTGACTCTTGACGTTCACGCCTTCTTCCTCGTGGCCCCATAGAACTAGCTGCTGCTCAGATACTTGGTCCCTCATCCTCTTAGTGTATTAAGGTCCGGTTCCTGTCTCTGGCTGGTCCCTCATATCACATCCCTACACTGTGGCCAAGTTTCAGGTCTCTAAGCTCCAAGACATAGGTCTTGCCCGCTTCCCTGGTAAACACGCCGGCCGCGACACTCATGATGTCGGCCCCTGTAGCCTATAAGGCCTACAAAGAGTTCAAGCTTCTTTCCCAGGACTTTAACTGGGCTCCTGAGGCCCAAGCCCCGCCCCCGCCCTCTTGTCCCGCCTCCGATTGTCAAAGAACCTGGCCTTCTCAAGTCCCCTCCCACTCCTGCCAGGTCTGGCCCCGCCTCCGCTTAACAATTCCTGGTATTCTTGTCAGTCTAACCCCTCAGTCATCACCTCTAACCCTCAGATCCCTCTCTGTGTGTTGATCATTTGGTCCTGTCCTCTTCCCGGCTTTAATCCTAAATTTCTTTTCCCGCTCCCGGTCTAGAGGCAGGCCTCACACTGAGGCCCCACCCCTTTCCCCAAGCTACTCCTTGGCTCCTCCTTCGCTCGGAGGATGCCACTCACCAACTCCTCCAGCTGACCAAAGTACAGACCGCGGCCCCCTGGGCCCAGAGCAGGGCGGGGAACGGCCGTAGCAGAAAATAACCGAAAAGAACGGGGGTGCGGGTGAAGGCAAGCGGGCGAGACAGCGAGGGAGGACCCCGAGATCTAGGCCCCGCCCCCGAGCTCGAGGCTCCGCCCTCCTGTGAGCCAGCCTAAGCACAGCCCCTTACGAACCTGGATCTCCCTTTGAAATACTCCGGTGTCTTCTTCCCCGCCCCCCAGACCTCGTAGTCCTAGGCCTCATCTCTTTAGAACGTTCTTTTAGCCCCGCCCCTTTACAATGCCCCGCCCCCTCCGTTATTACTTCTCCCGAAGCCCCGCCCATTACGAACTCTGCTACGTAGCTCCTCCCTTTTGGAACTCTCCGTCGTCCAGCCCCTAAAGACAATTTACTTATAAGCTCCTTCCTTCTAAGACCTGGCAACCTCTCTTCCCAAGACCCTCTCCTTCCTCGGGCCGGCCTAGAAGGCCCTTCCTCCGTGGGCCCGCCCCTTCCCTGACGCACGCGCTCGTCCGCGCCTTCGGCGTCCGCACCCTCTCTTCCTCTGAGCCCTCCGACCCCGCCCCCTTGCGAAGGCTCCCTTCTCGCCCCACCCCTTTTCGAACCCAGTCAGGCACCCAGCCCCTCCCATTTAGAACAGCAAACGTAGACCCTCGCCTCTTTAGAATCTTGAGACCAGGCTCCGTCCTGGACCCCTTCTCCATATCCTCAGGGGCCAGTGGCGCGGATGGGTGGGAAAGTAGGGGATCCTCTCTGGATCCTGAGAAAATGCGGGCTGGGGGGCTGTTCGCTACAGTCAGAGCCGGGCTCTAGGACCCAGCGGGCAAGTGCGCCTGCCTCGCGCTTACCCCTCCCCCAAGCCGCCCCCTCCCCCCCACCCATCTTCCAGGTTCCCCCTCCCTCCCCCTGCGCCCCGGCTCCCGGTGCCCGTCTCTAGCGCCGCCGGAGCCAGCGAGGGAGCCGGAGCGAACAGGAGGAAGAGGAGGAGGAGGAGGCCACGTCGCCACCGCTCGGAGCCCGGCCGGAGCCTCCCAGGCAGGTGCCGAGTGGGGCGAGGGGGCGGGGGCTGACAGACCGCCTGTCACGATGAGGGGGCGGCCAGGACCGCGCTGCGCCTCCTGCCCACCGGGGCGCCCCCCAGACCCTGGCTGGAAGGAAAAGGAGGTGGGGGCCCTGAACTGCGCGGCAGCCATTTGGGGTATCGGTCACCATCTAGGGGGCCTGGACTTCCTCCGAGGACTCCCATTCATAAAATTCCGTACTGGACCCTCACCATTGAGGAACTCAGGGGACCACTCCCCCCCCGGGGAACGCTGTGTGAGGAGCGTAGGGCATCCAGAAATCCGGGCGTCCCATCCCAGTAGGCCCTGGAGAGGACCCCTGCCCTCTTTCTCTGCTTCACCTGTTGTCGGGGGAGGCGGGCGGACAAAGGAAGCAGCGTCACGTGACTGCTCATTCACAAAATCCCATCCCATTGAGAAAAGGGGGCTGGGGGCGCTGCAGCCTCCCCCTCCCCTCCCGAAGGACTGGGGAAACCCGGCAGCCTGCTGGTGGGGGAAGGGGCTAGAGCTCGTTTCTGGGGTCCCTAAGGCCGGTGCTCCAAAGTCCCTGCGCTAGGTGGTAGTGAGGGGTTGGACGCTGATCCCGATTATGGGCGGAGGGCTACGTCCCCAGAGCTGGGGGGCGGGGTAAAATGGTTCTGAAGGATGCTAGGGCGGGGAGGGAAAGGAGGAGGGATCAGTTCCTCCCCCAATCCCTCACCCGGCAATCTCTCCCCCTTGCCTTTCCTCGGCAGGGGCCTGAGGGAGCAGGCTTGATTTTTGTGAATGAAATGCTCTCTGGATGTCTCTCGATCGCCCGTTTCTGGCTTCCTCTGCCTCCATCTCCCTTTCGGCCTGTCTCTGGCCATTTCTGGTTCTCTCCCTGCTCCCTGCCCATCTCCCGTTGCTGGGTGACTCAGTGAGCTTTGCATCCGGTCTCATTCATAAATCCGGGAAGGGGTGGGGGGGGGAGGAAGACAGCCTGGGTTTCTCACCCAGTCTGTGGCCTGGGTGGCAGGGTGCGGAGGCAGTGTAGGGGGGACTGGAGCTGAGTTGATGGGCTCTAAGAAAATACATATGCGCAGGCACCCAGCTGTGAGGGGGACGTTGGGTGGGGCTGTGGGTACGTGCTGAGGGAGGAGAAGGAGACAGTGTTGATAGGGGATGAGCAGGAGGAGGAGGGAAGTGGAAGAGCGAAGCTTTGGGGGTGAGGATGGGGAAGATGGGGAAAGGGAGGCAAGGTGAGTATGGAGAAAAAAGGTAGATATGGAGAAGGAGGTAGGCATGGGAGAAAAGAGATGGCAAGAGGAAGAAAGAAGCCATGCTGGAAGAAGGTGGGCATAAGAGAGGTGACGGGTATGGGCAGAAGGTGGGCATGGGGAAGGAGGTGGGTGTAGAAGGTAAGGGGAGTATGGGTGACTAAGGAGACAGTAGATCGGCCTGTGAGGGATGAAGAGGGGAGGTGAGGGATGGGGAAAAGCCGACTAGAAGAGCAGGAATGACGCTCACTGACCATGTTGTCCCTGTCCCCCTACCTCCTCCAGGTACATGGTTCGGGTCCGAGCCGTGGTGATGGCCCGAGATGACTCCAGTGGGGGCTGGCTGCCTGTGGGGGGCGGGGGCCTGAGCCAGGTGAGCTTATGTCGGGTCCGAGGGGCCAGGCCCGAGGGGGGGGCCCGCCAGGGGCACTACGTCATCCACGGGGAGCGCCTCCGGGACCAGAAAGTGAGCCACCCTGGGGCGTGGGGGTGGGGTGGGGGTATGGGGAAGTAGGGGGATGGGGCTGGGAATGCAGAGGTGAGGTCAGGTCATCTCCCAGCCAAAATCAAGTCCGGGTGTGGGATGGAGCTAGAAGTGACCCTGTCCTCTGGATGAGAGTGGGGAGTTTGGGGACTATTGGGGGTGTCAAACAGGTCCCGTCCCCTGCCACTGCCCACTGGATGGCCACAGCAGCCTGCTCACAGGTCTTCTTGTCCTGCTCCTGCTCCCTCCCCCAACCTCAGCCTGTTCCACTGGGGCTGGGCTAACACCTGACTCAGATCACATCCCTCCTCGGCTCAGAACCCTCCCTGTGGCTCCATCTTGCTCAGAGATCCTCACCGCGGGAATTTTACACCACCTGCCCCTCTGCCCTAAGTATTTGGAGGCCTTTGCTGGGGGGACCATCTGGAAGTGTCACATAGGGTTTACCATCCTGTTGTGGGTTCAGCAGGAATATTCTGGGCTGTCTGGCATGAAATGGAAAGAGACTGTTGACGTTTCAGCTGGGGATGTAGTAGAAAGGTTTGGATTGCTTGAAAAGGCTTGGGGTAAGGGTTGCATTTCAGAGCAGGGGTTGGAAGGAACAGTGTAGGGGGATTTGAAATAGTGTGGAAAAAATACAGTGATGTTGGGCAAGAAGATGGGAGAACATCTAGGGTGTTGACCAGCATTTGAGGGGAAATCTGTGGGATTTTGATTAAAAAAAATTTGGGGGGTAGTATTTGGGGAGATTACTGGGGCATCAGAAGGGGATTAACAATAGCATTTTGAGATATTCAGTAAAGCTTGGGGAGTACAATTGAGTCAAATGGACAATATTGGCTATCAGAAGGAGGTTAATGTTTTTTGAGGCACCCAATAAAATTTGGGATGCCTACTGAGATATCAGAGGGAAGGAGGTGTTAGGAAAATGTAGAGATCAAGGGTTTGGGGGGAAATATTGGAGTATCAGAGGTGTGCTCAATATTGGGGTGTGATCAGTGTTCAAGGGTGCACCAAGATGGGGAAATGAGATTTGTGAGGTGCTCTGGCAGGAAGGGAATGTCTGACCTGGACCTTTCCTGCCTGCCCCCACTTCAGATCACCTTGGAGTGCACCCTGAGGCCAGGCTTGGTTTACAACAAGGTGAACCCCATCTTCCATCACTGGAGCCTGGGTGACTGCAAGTTTGGGCTGACGTTTCAGAGCCCGGCCGAGGCAGATGAGTTTCAGAAGAGCCTGCTGGCAGCGCTGGCTGCTCTGGGTCGAGGTGAGTGGTGCAGGGGGTAGGGGCTGGAGCCTGGGCTGGGGTGAGTGGGGGGTGGGAGAAGCTTGGCCCTAAGAACTCACTGCTCTGCCTCTCTCCCTACCCCAGGCTCACTCACCCCCTCCTCCTCCTCCTCTTCCTCCTCCCCTTCCCAGGACACTGCAGAGACCCCCTGCCCTCTGACGGTGAGTCTCCTGGGTGCAACGCTGCCGGGAGGGCAGGGGGCTATTTCTATTCTGCAAACATTCTTGAGCACCTACTGTGTATCTGGAACCAAGCCACGTGCTGGGGACACAAATTTGGGCCGAAAATTAGTGTCAATTTCAATCCCAGTGATTTTAGTCTTTTCTGTTCTATCATGATTTACCCATTCATCCAAGGGTATTTATTGAACACCTTCCATAAGAAGTGTTTTAAGCACTGGGGATACATCAGTGAACAGAATAAAGTCCCTTTCCTCGTGGAGCTTCTATTCTAGTGTGGAAAGGCAGAAAATTTTTTTAAGGTACACTATAAAAATGAATAAATATTAAAAGTAAATAGATGAATAAATCAATGGGAAATCCAACCTTCTAGTTACTCAAGATACAAACCTTGGAGTCATCCTTGACTCCTTTCCTTTTTTTAATGCCCCCTCATCTAGTCTGTCAGCACATATTGGCTCCACTTTCTTTTTTTAAAAAATTTGGCTTCACCTCACAGCACACAAGATCTTAGTTCCCCAACCAGGGATGGAACTTGGGCCCGTCAGTGAAAGCGCCAAGTCCTAACCACTGGGACCACCAGGGAATTCCTTGGCTCTACTTTCAAAATGATCAGACTGTGCCTCCAACCTGGTGACTATTCAACCTCATCTCCCAACTGGACCATTTCATCAGCTGCTCATCATCAACTGTCCCCCTCCTCTATCTCCTTCCCCCCCGACACAGCCAGAGGGACCCTATTGACATCTAAGTCTGATCACAAATATCCTCCACTTAGAGCCCTACCGGGGCTCCATCTCACTTCTGGTAAAGGACAAAGTCCTCACAGAGGCACATAAGACCCCACATCAGCTGGCCCCCTATTACTCTCCCTCATGGTCACTAGGCTCCAGCCACATTGGCCTCCTCACTGTTATGCCGAAAGGGAAGACAGATTCCTGTCTCAGGGCTTTTGCACTGGCTGGTCCTCTTGTCTTGGAACATTCCCAAATTTCCACATGGCTTATTCTCTTATTTCCTTCAGGGCTTTACACACGTAGTCTCCTCAATGAGGCCCTCCCTGTTGTTATTCAGTTGCTAAGTTGCATCTGACTCTTTGCAAACCCATAGACTGTATCCCGCCAGGTTCTTCTGTCCATGGGATTTCCAGGCAAGAATACTGGAGTGGGTTGCCATTTCCTCCTCCAGGGGATCTTCCCAACCCAGGGATCAAACCCAGTCTCCTGCATTGGCAGGTGCATTCTTTACCACTGAGCTATCAGGGAAGCCCTGAGGCCCTCCCTGAGTAACCTGTTTAAAACTGCAGTCTCCTAATGCTCCTTATCTTGTCCTTTCCCCCATCTTCTAAGATAGTTTTATTTCCTCTTCCAATAGACAATTTTCTTATTTATGACTTTACTATCCATCTCCCATGCTAGAATGTCTGCTCCAGGAGGGCAAGGATCTTTTGTTGCTTTCTTGCTGAATCTTCAATGCTTAAAACAGTGCCTGGTAGACAGTTACGTGTTCAGTAAATATGTGTTGAATAAACTGAATGAATGAATAAATGCACATAATGTCGGATTCGATTTGGCCCTTGCTGGGAACAGTGGGAATGTCTCAAGAACACGTGGAGGAACAAACCTGGTTCCCTGGGCAGAAAGGGGGATTTCCCAGTATAATGGGAGATGAAGAGGGGTCTACAAAAGTCACACAGACAGATCCCATTTATTGAGTGCTGTCTCAGGAAAGATGCTGTGCTCTCTGTGTTCCATCTCATATCCTCCCAATGGCCTTTGCGAGCCTGGCAAGTCATGGGTGCTCAATGAATGTTTATTGAGGATAGTAATCTGTTGAGGTAGGAATGATTTCCAAGTCACAGAAAGGAATGGAGGGTCTGAGAAGTGATGTTTCAGCTTGTAAAGGACAGAGCTTGGTTTGGACGGGAAGAAAGACATTCTAGGTGGGTGGAACTACCCCACTAAAGGTGTGGTGGTAGGCAGGAGGCAGGAAGGCAGCTGATGACCAAGGGACAGGGGTTCTGAGACGGGAGAGTGATTTGATGTTCTGTAGGTTGGTGAGCTGAGCAGATAAGAAAAGGAAGTCCAATAACCATAACCATTTCCAGCTCTTCCTGTACTTCAGGCATGTTTATGCCCTTTACAGTGGGTCCTAACCACATCCTTATGAATAGACAATATTATGATCCCCATTTTACAGAGGAGGAAACTGAGGCTCAAAGAGCTGAGCTCACTTGCCGGAGGTCACACAAGCAGTCAGTGGCATTGTCGGGGCTTGAACCCAGGCCTGTCTGGCCACAGAGCCCTCGCTCGCAATGGGAGGGGGTCTATATAAGGGCATCGGCTGTGCCAGAGGTCCCGGCTCTGAGGCCGCCAATCTCCCCCAGTCCCACGTGGACAGCGACTCCTCCTCCAGTCACAGCCACCAGGAGACGCCTCCCAGCGCAGCGGCGGCCCCCATCGTCACGGTGGAGTCAGCTTCCGGCTTCGGGCCGGCCACGCCCCCCCAGCGCCGCCACTCATCAGCTCAGGTGGGGCTCCCGGGGAAAGGGGGCCGGGCGCCGGGGTCCCGAAGTGGGCGGGAGCTGAGGCCGCAGAGGGGCAAGAAACCACAGATTCTAAGGGATGGCTGACCTGTCTTGTGGCGAGGGGGCTTAGGCCTGGGTTTCTGGGAAGATTGAGTGAGGGCTTCCCGCACGTCTCCTGCGCTCTTGGAGACTGGAATGCTCTGAATTCCAGAGGGGTTTAAGGGACGACTTGGACAATGAATATATATTAGGGGGTTGGTGGTACTCATGGAAGGGGTTCTTTAGTACTTAACTCACGAGGAGTGAGACTCAATATCCAAGGGGTAAAAGGGACCTGGTGACCAGACTCCTGCTGGAGAAGGAGAAGATGGACGGGGTCCAGGACTCTTGAATCTGAGAAGGGCTGGGTACAGGAATCCTGGATCTTGAGAGAGGACAGGACTGAGAGCCTGGCCCACTGGGTCCTTAAAGTTTGGGCTTGTGCTTGAAGTCTTCTGTTTGTCCCTGGGAGTGGAGTGGGCTGAGGACTTAGAAGTTCGGGACCCCAGGCAATCAGGATCCCAGTACAGGATGCTAAAATAAATGAGGCCTGTGGCTGGGTCCTTGGATTCTCGGGTCTTCTAAGGCCGGGATGGATTGTGGTGGCATGTGGGGGATCACAGAGCCTGTTAACCTGTTCTCCTGTATCTTGGTCCCGCAGAGCTACCCTCCGCTCCTACCGTTCACGGGGATTCCGGAGCCTTCAGAGCCCCTGGCTGGGGCCGGGGGCCCGGGCTGGGGCGGCCGAGGCTATGAGGATTACCGGCGAGCGGGGCCGCCCGCGCCCCTCGCCCTGTCCACCTGCGTCGTGCGCTTCGCCAAGACCGGCGCTTTGAGGGGCGCAGCCCTAGGGCCCCCCGCAGTCCTACCCGCCCCTCTCACCGAGGCTGCGCCTCCAGCACCCCCGGCTCGCCCACCCCCAGGCCCCGGCCCGGCCCCTGCGCCAGCCAAGGCCTCCCCGGAGGCGGAGGAGGCGGCGCGCTGCGTTCATTGCCGTGCGCTCTTCCGCCGTCGCGCTGATGGTCGTGGCGGCCGCTGCGCCGAGGCCCCGGACCCGGGTGGCCTGCTTGTGCGCCGTCTCAGCTGCCTGTGGTGCGCCGAGAGTTTGCTCTACCACTGCCTGTCGGATGCCGAGGGCGACTTCTCGGACCCGTGCGCCTGCGAGCCGGGCCACCCGCGCCCCGCCGCGCGCTGGGCCGCGCTGGCCGCGCTCTCGCTCGCCGTACCCTGCCTCTGCTGCTACGCGCCCCTGCGTGCATGCCACTGGGTTGCAGCGCGGTGCGGCTGCGCCGGCTGCGGAGGTCGCCACGAAGAGGCTGCGCGGTGAGGACGGCCTGATGGGTCCGGTAGCCGGACCGAGGACCCAAAATTGAGGGTCCAGGACCCCGGACTCCGTTCGGACCCCAATCCCAAACCTAGGCACACCCGGAACTTGGAGCTTGAGTTTGGATTGAGAGACCCCAGACCTGGAACCTGGACCCCAAATGTAGGACGGAGAGACCCCAGAACCAGCTTCATTGGGATGTCTGTCCAAGAGGTTCCAGGGACCCTGAGTTCTGGCTTCCCCATTCTCCACCCCCAACCCTGACCTAGACTAAGGAGATTCCAGGGATCCCCAGACCCTTCACCCCAGGCAGGCAGGGAGCACATGGATCCCTGAGAGCAGGGCTCATCCTGACTCCCTGTTCAAATTACCAACCTAGACCCCCGTCATGCCTGGCACCATGAACCATGAGATTACAGCCCCAGAATTAGGAGTGGCCAGAACCTGACCCTACCGGTATACAGTTACTCCCAGATCTTAAATCATAGTACCTGGAATCACCGCCCCCCCCCCCCCCCCAACGATTCTTGAATGCACCTAAAACCTGGGGCACCTGTATCTAAGATGTTCTTGTAGCCCCAGGACTTCTTAGACACCAAATCCTCTTAAGATGCCCTGAGTCCTTGGATGTGCTCAAATGGCTGTTCTCTCACCCAAATGACTTGGGAGATCCACCTCAGAGCCCTCCTTCCCATGTGCACACGGCCCAAGACCCAGAAGTCAGACTCCGAGATGCTCTGTGAGCCAAGGATCAAAGACCTCTGTAGACCCACCCATCCCAAGCTGGTGTTCCCAGGAATTTTCAATTCCATATATAGAACTCTGAAGTCCTATATATGTAGGACTGATGTAGGATTGAAGGCCACCAGTACCTCAGGGTCTAAGACATGGGTCCCAACCCCTCAGATACCCTTCTTCCAAACCTCCTTGGACTCGGATTTCAAGCCCCAGATCATCCTGGAAGCTTCAGCTTTTTTGTACCCACGTATTCCCAGTCCCCAAAAGGCTAGGAGCCCAGTTCCCAGAAGATGGGACATTCATGGCAACTCAGACCTCTGACCCCTTGCCCCTGAGTGCTTTAGGAGCACTCAATCCAAGACCCTGAGGTGCCACTGACCCTCCAAATTCAGAACTCAAGCCTACACAGTATTGGGATTGTCCCTGACCCAAGACCTTGGTCCTCCATGCCAGAGACAAATCTGAGGTGCCCTGGGACTTTCACACCTTCAGATCCCAGATTTTTTTGGATTCCAACCTCTCTAGCCTGGTATGTCCCAGGCCCAGCTTGTGCATCTCCTGAGACCTGCTGCCCATTGAATCCTGCTGTCCACAGACCCCTGAAACCCCAAGGTCCCAGACTCTCAGAATTCTAGTCCCAAGGGCCCCGGCCCAAGCTCTCAGTATCATACAGAACTAACTACCCCTTTAACCCTAAAGGGGGGGGGGGAACATTTTGAGCTAATGTTCCTGGATTCCAAGACCAACCAAGATCTCCCCTGCTCCCCTATCTAGGACCTAGCTTTGCCATAGATGAGTGTGCAGGCTGTTCACTAAACAAAGCCTCACAGCCAAGGCTGTGAGCAGGGCTGGCCATGCTGTGCCCTCTGAGGAAGGTGTGCATTTGTGTAAGTTGCACAAAGGCAACTAGATATGGCTCTATTGGCACAAATGCCCATGGGTGCACACTCACACCTACACACACCCACACCCACACACTTCCCAGCCTTGCAGACTCTCTCCCAAGCCCAACCTTGAGTCCTAGCCTTAGTCCAAGCCTTTCATGTTCTGCCCCTCTGTTAACCCCTTCACTTCCATCTCAGAGTTGGGGGTTGTTTTGGAAAGTTTGAAAGCCTGGTTCATGGCCTTCTGAGACTCCTCTTCTGGGGAAAGGGGATTCCAAGATCTCTTTCTCTTCAGTGGAATGGGACTGCTAGTGTACCATGGATCTGACAGCCTGCATGGGGGAGATCACGGTCTTGGAGCAACACAATCTCAATGTTGTATGGGCTTGGGACCTACATCTGGTCCTAGGCATCTTGAAGTGTGCACTTACCTTTCCTCATTACCCAGACCTGGATGGCCTTGTGGGGGTTCAAGGGATAGGTCAAGGGGGCCAGAGGGATGGATCCTCCTGTCACTTCCTTTAAATTATTAACTATTTATTACATCCGGAACCTGTGAGATTCAGCTCTCTCAACCAGACCCTGGGATGGGTGAGAGAAAAGAGGGGTGTCCCTCCCACCCCCACTCTGCCCAGCTCTCATCAGTGTCAGACCCACCAGAGCTGAGGGCGGAGGGGCTGGGGCAGCCTGGGTCCCCATCCCCCTCTCTGTGCCTCGGTCTCCTCCCTTCCGTGGTGGGCGGGGGGAAGCTCCATTCTTAACCTACCTCGTTTTGGGGAGGGGTGGGACGGGGGACCAGAGTGCTGTAAGGTGCTGTGGGATCTGTGGATGAAGTGGTGGGGGCTGGGGGAAGGTTCCCTGGCTCCCACCTCCCAGCACCGCCTCTCCCAGGTCTCCCAGTCCTGCTCCCTGCTAATACCCACCTCTGATCCATGATTACTCTTCATCACCCCTAAATCAGGGGTGCATGGAGGGATGACCCTGGGAGCCAGGAAGACCTCAAACCCTGGAGCCCCCAGGCCCAATTTCCCAGCTGCTTGCCCCTCAGATTGGATGCTTGGCCCCCAGGCTTGGGGGAGGCACCTCGACATTTATCTTCCTGATCTTGATTCTAAGCCAGTCTGTGACCTCAATATTGTTATCAGTGCAGGCTGAAGTAGTGGGGGAGGATGGGGGCCGAAGACCAGCCTTGTCATCGGGGGAGGGGGCATGAGATATCGGCTCCAAGAAATGTCTGTGACAAAGTCTCAGCCTGTGTTCTTTATTTGCATTGATGCATCCCATCCTCTCATCTTCCTGAGCCACCAGACCAGACAAATCCTTCTTTCCCCTACTCATCCTTTAGTCCCAAGCAGACCCTCGCGCTGAATTTTATACATCCAATCACTCCACAAGTACATTTACTGAACACTTGCTATATACCAAGCCCTGTTCTAGGTGCTGGGGATAAAACAGTGAACAGAAAAATTCATTCCCACAAGGAACTTATGAACTTTATAGTGAAGGAGACAATATGTGAAGGAGATAACATGTTAGTGGAGGAGATAACATATAGTGGAGATAACATGTTAGAAATGATATATGCATGCATGCTGAGTTGCTTCAGTCACGTCCAACTCTTTGACTCTTTGTGACCCTATGGACACTAGACCATCAGGCTCCTCTGTCCATGGAATTCTGCAGGTAAGAATACTGGAGTGGGTTGCCATGATCTTCTCCAGGGGATCTTCCCAACCCAGGGACTGAACCTGTGTTTCTTATGTCTCCTGCATAGGCAGGTGGGTTCTTTACCACTAAGAAATGGTATATCCTATAAAGAAAAAATAAAGTGAAGATGGGGGATACAGACAGTTATTGTCATGGTGGTCAGGGAGGCCCCATGGAGGAGGATGGCATTTAAATATAGCCCTGAAGGTGAGGGAGTCATGGGGCTGTCTGTAGGAAGAGCATTCCAGGTAAAAAGGACAGTTGTGCAAGGCCCTGAGTGAGGAGCATGTCTGGTAAGTCTGAGGGACGTCAAGGGAGCTGGAGAGGGGAGGAGCAAGAACAGGAGGGTGCTTAGGAGATAGAAAGGTGAAAGAAGGGGCAAAGGTGACAGGGAAGATCTATGGGACCTTGCAAGCCATTGCATGGACTTTGCTGTTCACCCTGAGTGACATGAAGCTATAGGAGTCTCCAAGTATGGGAGCTTGGAGCTTCTATGTCACAGCAGGTGTGACCTGACTCAGTTATTCACAAGTTCCTTTTGGCTGCCTGTGGGGACAGATCCTGGTGGGCTGGTGGGTGGGGGGAGGCTTGAAGACAGGGAGGAGGTTGCTAGGATGGTCCAGGGGGAGACAGTGGTGCACAGGACCAGGGTGAGAGGAGTGGAGGCCAGGAGAAGTGGGAAAGATAGTGGATCTGTTTTGAAGGTCAAGTTCAATTTAGATATGAAAGTGAAAGTCTTAGCTGCTTAGTTGTAAAGTCATTATCCTGCCTTCTTTATCCTAAGAGGAGGTGGTGGTTTAGTCACTGAGTTGTGTCTAATTCTTTGTGACCCAATGGATTGTAGCCCACCAGGCTCCTCTGTCCATGGGATTTCCCAGGCAAGAGTATTGGAGTGGGTTGCCATTCCCTTCTCCAGGGGATCTTCCCAACCCAGGGATCAAGCCCAGGTCTCCCAAATTGCAGGCAGATTCTTTTTTTTTTTCCATTTATTTTTATTAGTTGGAGGCTAATTACATCATTGCAGTGGTTTTTGTCATACATTGAAATGAATTAGCCATGGATTTACATGTATTCCCCATCCCGGTCCCCCCTCCCACCTCCCTCTCCACCCGATCCCTCTGGGTCTAACCAGTGCACCAGGCCCGAGCACTTGTCTCATGCACCCAACCTGGGCTGGTGATCTGTTTCACCCTAGATAATATACATGTTTCGATGCTGTTCTCTTGAAACATCCCACCCTCTGCAGGCAGATTCTGTACCATCTAAAGCACCAGGGAAGCTCAATTTAGATAAGGAGTACACCATAAAAAGAAGAGTCAAGGTTATGACTCCATGGCTTTGGTCTGAACAATTTTTAATATTTTATTAAGGTCAACAACTGCTGCCCCCTGACCCAGTACTCAGCCATGGAGTAGACAGGACTATGGAGGAACCAAATTAAGGGCAGACTCTCCCCCTAAGCGGAGAAGGCAATGGCACTCCACTCCAGTACTCTTGCCTGGAAAATCCCATGGACAGAGGAACCTGGTAGGCTGTGGTCCATGGGGTCGCTATGAGTTGGACACAACTGAGCGACTTCACTTTCACACATTGGAGAAGGAAGTGGCAACCCACTCCAGTGTTCTTGCCTGGAGAATCCCAGGGACAGGGGAGCCTGGTGGGCTGATATCTATGAGGTTGCACAGAGACGGACATGACTGAAGTGACTTGGCAGCTCCCCCTAAGAATCAGGTTCTGGCTCTTTTTCTCCTCAGAGTCTCTACTTCCAGTCTATTCTCACTCCCAGTAGAACTATCTAGAAACTACTGGAGATCAGGACAGAGTTGGGAAGAGAGTAAACCTGGAAAAATAATATGAACAACAGCTACAAAAGCAACAGCAGTAATAACAATAGAAATAGGTTAAGTGGTTAAAAGCATGGATTTTGGAATCAGATCTGAATTTGAGTCCTGGCACCACCATGCAACTCACTCTGTGATTCATCCTTACTGCACCTCAGTTTTCTCTTCCATAAAATGGAGATAAAATACCTAGCCTAGTACCACACACGAAATGCACTAGGTGGCATACGATATCTTAGTTCCCAAATCAGAGATTGGACAAGTGTTCCCTCCAGTAGAAGGGTGGAGGCTGAACCACTGGACAGCCAGGGAAGTCTCTCTGTTAGTCATTTTTAATTGAGTACCCCTTAGATGTCTGTTAAGCACTTACATACAGGACTAATCCTCACAAACAACTGTAAGAGATAAGCGTTATTACACTTATTACACAGATGTCAAGCAACTTAGCAGGAACACAACGACGGTGAATGGTGGAATCAAATACCTAACCTTTGCCTGCGGACCAAATTGCACTGGTAGAGTGCAGTCTCTTAATCACCATGGTATATTGCCCTTGCTCCCTCTCTGAAAAGGCTTAGTGAGGCAGAGGGGTGAAGGTGCATACTGTGATCGATGGGCGCACTGTGATCGATGAAGACTAACTCGGCTGTGTGTGTGAGTAACTGGGATTCCTGGTCCCTGAGAGAATTCCAGCTCTAAATAGGAAAGGAGGAAACGGGTTTCTGGACTTAGAGCGGAGTGGGGAGAACAATATTTGGTATGGGATGCTTTAAGAGCAGAGGGCATTTGAGGGAGTCGGAGGAAAAGCTGCTTCTATGTCGCAGCAGGAGCGACACCGCTGGTCTGTCGCGACAGCCGGGATCCAAAACGCCTGCTCTGGATTTTTACA